TCGAGTAAAAGAGTTCGTCCAGGGAAGTACTGCCAGCCGCCTCACCTATTTCTGCCCCCAAGCAGTAATGTGAGCATTACGGCGTTCCGGTTTTGAAGGGTAAACTTGTAAAATTGCAGGCACATGGTACTTATTAACTTATGTCCCATGGTGACAGACGCAGTTGCAATGCCCCTCGGACCTTTGTGTTTTAAAGCTCTGAATGGCACTGCAACTGTTATGGACAGACGTATAGCTTACCATCTCGTCACTCAGTAACATAAAAGAAAAATATGGCTAAAAGACCAGAGGGCTTTTGAATTAAATACGGCCTGGTTAACAACGTATTATTCTACGTGAGATCCAGGCAACACGAAGACATGCCGTCGACAAACAAACCAACGATCGCGACGATGTCGAGATCAAACAAATCTCATTACGACCAGTTCCGGTCGCGTGCCTCCGGCCTCTCATTTCCGTATTATATTCACCCACCACTTATGCAAGACAACGCTTTTGATTTGAACTTGAATATCTGCACTTTAGATGCATATGTCGTTTTGTTATATAGGGTAGATACAGCCAATGACGAGAAAAATAGAACACGTACAAATAAATAATAATTCTTTACTAGTGATAATTTAACGATATTTGAGCAAAAAAAAAATGCGTGCCAAATAGTATTTTTTACAACAGAGCGTTTTATGAGGTTCTTATTATTTAAAATCAATTTTAAGGTCAAATAAAATATTTATGTTAAATAAAAAAAGACGATAGGCCTTAATTTCTTTTATCGTTACGTAATTTTGAGCATCCTAAAGAAATGTTTGTAAAACCATCTAAATTCCAAAACATGGACGGAAAGACCTTTGCCTCTCACCTACAGAGTTGTATATTATAATGTTTGTCGTATTTCATTCACACGGTCTAGTATAGTTGGACTTTTTTTAAAATATATTTTTTACGCAATCATAAGTTGTATACAATTATAAAGGTATTGCAGTCGCAAAGAGTTGTGCTAATAATGTTGTTGTTACATCTATTACATATTACATGATGTTTTCTATTTCATATAGGTAAAAAGTTTGACAGATGCTCAACTACTTAGAGATGGACACGTCTTGCACTGCGCTGAATCATTCTAAAGTTTAAGGTAATAAAAAACAAACAAAAAGACCAAAAACTAGATAATAAAATAAATTAACTACAACGTTAGTATTAGTGCGCGTACGTGCCAAGGATCTTACGACTGGAATGGTGTGTTAGTTTTTTTTTAAATATGACAGACTGTAGCTGTACCCTAACGTCGGCGCCATATTAAACACTCCACCATTTTGCTGAGCTACAGAAATTTTTATCTCACTTAAATAATAATGTTATTTAATACTAAACTATAATGTATCGTATTTTATAATATTTTTTTAATTTGTTGATTTCATAATTATCACTTATCACGGATCATTTTTGTAACGGTTTATTATTGTAGTTACAATGAACCAGGCTCTGGGATAAATGGGAAAAAACTATTTCAAAAAAGTCGTAAAGCATATTATTATTAAAGTTAATAACTAACAACTAATCAAATGAATAAAAGGAAAGAAACGGAAAACGTCGCGTCTTTGGAGACATGTAGTTTGTATAGTGCAAGAAAGATAGCGATAGTCTAATGTAGAACTAAACAAAGTCAGTTAAAATTACAATGACTTATGTACTTAAATCAAAACCTTGAAACACAACATTGCACTTGTAATTATCACACAATAAGATTAGATCTGAACACATACAACTTTAGTCCTACGAGATTTAAAAATTTGAGCTAACATTTTTCGCCTTCCTGCACGAACTTGCGTTAACTGCTACCGACTTTCTTAAGGAAGTAGAAAAATGTATATATTGACCAAAATTATGTGCTCTACATTCATATTCACATACAGCTACTACCACGTGCAAGCATCAATTAGTGATTCTCAGACGTAAGCAAAGTGCTCTTACGGCTTACGTGGAAGCGGTGTTAACTGACTATTGTGAACAAGTACCATACATACCGCGGGTTGCAATCACGGCTCTGTGTCTCAAATAATTACTTATTCAGGTAGTATATAATTCTGCAAAGATTAGTGACATGACGTAAAACGAAATGAATTTGATAAAACTCAACTAACGTTAAAGTTAACAAAATGGCGGTGTCGAGTTCTTAGGTTTTCGCGATTGTTAGACATAGCAAATGCAACTATTTTTCCGGATTTAAAAGGCTTATATTTGTTTTTTCAAACTAACTAACGTTTCGGGCCCTTTACAGGTCCCATGGGCACGGTTGACTGAAGAGTCAACCGTTATATTTAGTTTTTTTTTTTACATTGAAACCATAGAGTATATAACCAATTGAAATTAATTCATAATGCTACCTCTCGTATTACGACATCCCCACGAATAAATGCGCAAAAGTTTTTACACAATTTTCTTTTATCAATCTATAATAATTTATTATTTATTTTAAACCTCCTAAATTTTCTTCACCCAAAAAGAAAGATAAGTAAATAATCAGTTTTATTGTAACTCAAATGTTTTTAGGGAAAATATAAATTACGCCAATAAAATAATACACCTCAAAAATTAAATTAAATTCATAATTTCAAAGTTTTTTACATTAAAAGTGAATCAGTCCGAATGTTTTATTATATTTTAAACACCTGCAAAATTGTTTTCACGCAAGTATAAACATAAATAATCTGTTTTATTACAACTCAATACTTTTTTCTAAAGAAAACATAAAAATAAATTACACACGAATAAAATAATATACCTCAACTAAATCATACATGACGTAAAAACAGACATTAATTTATTTTCATCGTTTTCGTCACACATTTTTTTCATTTTTCAATCCCATCAGGTGCAATGTTAAGTTTTTAGTGTTTTTATTTTTAATAGTCTTCAAAAAAGAAAGAGATTCTCAATATGACTGTATTACTGTTGGGATTTCTTCGACATTTTGTAAACCAAAGTCGATGGTTCTTTTTTGTTGGAGGTACCCACCTCAGTAGTTAGTATTTGAGGAAAATGTTTCACCTCTAAGGGTCGCAAATTTGAGGTATAAATCCGGTTTAATGGATTTCAGCTACTTTCCGTTAACCGATTTCAATAAAACTTGACAAATAGATTTAATTCCACAAACCTTTGAGGTAGGTTTTTTTTATAAAACTGTTCTAATTATAATAATAATATCTGTAAAGTTGGCATTTTAATAATTAATATACGTAAATTCAGTAGGGCTGTCGATTTTTGTTTTATAAAAGAGAATAGCAGGGTTATATATTGAGAAATGGACTCCGCGTAGCCTGTCGATTTTCGATAGACGACAACTTATAAAACAGCTATAGGGAAGCTATAGGTAGTTAAGAGCATACGTCCTCTTATGTAGTCAGAGGGCGGACAATTAGAGCGGCAAGAGGCACTTAGCGCATTCATGGCGTGGCTCCACGCCGCACGCTCGAGCCCCTCGTAGAATATAATGTCGTAAGTGGATTATACTCTACAGCGTGCAAAGGAACGGTATCCATGCTGCTAGCCAATGAACTATAGCCCCACAGTATTGAAAACTTAGACAATGAATTTCAGAGATAATAACCCGCAATACAATCTGTAAGCTAGTTTCTACTCAACGAAATCAATTTAAAGCGCAACGTCAGATCAATGTCATCATATTATTGTAATGCCAACGAATTTACGTTAAGTCAAATTTCATGTCAATAAAAATATTCTCACAGGACATTGGCGAAATCGCCATTTTTTTTTGTATCATTTTTATAATAATGTTAAACTACCGTCATTGACTTACAATAAATGGACGACGGGTCTAATACAAAAACCACGAAAAAAATGTCCCAAGTCAACCTATTTAAACGTTGTGACATGTAAAGGAATATGAAAAAGCTAAAACGTTGAATCTAAATTGTAATGTCATCGCTGTACTGTCTAATTTTGCTTGCTTCGCTGTCAGTCGAACAAACGAAGACTAAAGCGTGAATGACGCTCTGTATACGATTTTAACGCCCTATAAGTTCGGACACTTTTTAGCGCGGACCCGACGTCCATATAATTGTAAGTCAATGACTACCGTACATAGTTATTTTTACTTGACATTGGCAAAATCATTGATTATTTCGATAGAGCCATAACATTTAAAAGATGAAGAAATGGAAGTAAAACAAATATTATACACTAAAAAGAGTTGAACAGATGTTCGTCAAACATAGCTTAGATTCATCGAGTGTATATCATTCTGATTAAATTAGCCTTCAAATAAAAAAAGCTTTGCAAAGTCGATTCGTTTGGGAACTCCGATGCTACCTTAGAGGATGGAAAAATAATAAAAGATGCCACGGGAAATATATAGCGAACTTGAAGATATCCCGCGCTCAACATAAGACCTGTTGAAAAACATAGAAGCTTATCCTGTCCTATGCAATTACATTTATAGCATCTACTCTTCATGACTTATGAAATAAACTCAAAGGATTAAACTACAGAGGCGCATGTCGTCTTTTCCGATAATACTACAAGGAAGGGTAAAATTTTTATAAAGAGACTGTAATGTGAAACCTTTGCCTACCCAAATAAATGGGTGAAAATTTATAAAAGAAAAATGTACTGACGCTTATACAAGGGTTTTAAACTTATAACTCCTCTCTTTTCTCTATGGGGTTAATAAAAATGATCCCTTTCGCGTTTTCATGACTAGAAATTGGTTGAGCAAAAAATGTTTTTTTAAATTTGGGAGAATGGTCTTTGATTAATGTTTAAGTATATATTATAATTATATTATACATGGGAATTAAGATTTAATTTAGTTGCTTATTATTGTTGTCACAGTCATTAAACAAAGATATGTTCCGATTTTCTTATTATACTTTTTGTTACATCCGGATTGTAAATTAAAAACTTTTGGTTGCATTTTTTAAACGAAGTTGTGTTCCATTTTCACATGAATTCTAACTACATAGCTAAATATATGTACGTACCGCCGCCATTCTTGTAGCAGAGGTATGGGAAGCGCCAGACGTTGGCGAGGTCGACAGCGAACCCGATGACGGAGAGCAGGAAGTCTACCTTCTTGCCCCAGGTCTCGCGCTCGCCGCCGCCCGGCGTCGGGGTCTTCAGCTCCATTCTACTGCTGACCGACACCAGGCCGCCCCACCCTGTTGATGGAGAACTTCTAATTGTAAACTGATGTATGTAGGTACTGGAACTTGTTGTTTAGGCGGTGACAAATTTGTTTAGTTGTAGTTGTTTTTCTTGTGAGTTTCGATCGGGGTTAAAACTATAATAATAATAATAATAACGCACACACTCAACATAACCCCGCACTAGGGAAACCCTGTATCACGGGTGCCATGGACACACACATAGACAACCACAAATTACAGCCAAACTCACGAGAGAAATAAATGTAGGCCATACAAAGATTTCTCCCGGCCCGGGTGTCGAACCTGGGACCTCTGCGTGGCAGTCCGGCATGGTAACCGTTCGGCCACGGAGGCAGTTATGAGTTGAGTGATTTCGTTGACGGACTTTGAGAGTAGTCCCGTAGGTCATCCATAGTGGGCAAACAATCGCAACTACGGATTTGATGCTTCAAGAATATGGCCCCAGAAGAAGTAAAGTGACATTTACCCAAAAAATTAATATACTGTCTGGGAAACCCAAGGGCCTGCAGCTACCTTGCTCAACGCGTTAGCATAGCCATTCAAAGGGGGAACGCTGTCAGTATCTTGGGCACCTCGCCGCGGCGACCACCTCTTTGTTAGAAAGAAGGTACCTCAGTATTGATCACATTTAAATTAGAAGAAAATATTCCATCTCTTAGGGAGGCAAACTAGGGATGATCCGATTTCGCGGACTTTCCGGTACCCGTTTTTAATAAAACTTGGTCTTGCAATAAGTAATATCGTTTTCACACATCGTGCTTAGCAGTCATTACATCGAAACAAACAAAATACAGACATCAAAAGTATCTAGGGACCATGGTATTTTTTTTAATATTTGACATGATTCCTTCGAGACCATGGACGTTGCAACTCGTCCTAAATGTCGAGGTAAAAAGGTCAACTTTATATGTATTTATTATTGATATTCCGATAATTATATACTCTGCCGAGTCTGCTTGTACTGCAAATCATAACAACAAAATTTTAAAATATCTGACGTCAATATGAAATAAAGATTATAATGGCTGAAGTGAAATCCATATTCACATTTTAACCATGACTGAAGTATCAATTACCGACCTTTTAACTCTTCCATTAAACACTCAGAAGTTTTTGTTCAGTATAGTTACACGGTATTAATAATTTTATTTCATTTTATTCGAAACAAAAACAGCTTAATAAACAACGACTACCAATGAATATATGTGAGTGAGTTTAGTGTTAAGCTTTAAGAGGGTTTAAATACTTAGTTTAATTCACTAGTACTTTTATTATAAATCAGGAATATTTCACTAACTTTTATAAAATTTTATCCTTTATCACAACTTCAGTGCCACAACCACATTGCTCAACTACAGAGTGGAAGCCTGGTGACCCGTAAATCAGGTTTTTCTATACCTATCTCGGGCACCAGTCTCTCACAAAGCAGTCTGACCAATTTTTACACTTGTATTAACCTTAAGTTCCCTACTTTTTAAGCCTGTTTTGTGATTGAGAAATAAAACATCATTTCATTTCATTTCATACAATTAAATTATAGTAAAATTTAACTAATCGAAAAGAAAAATTATAGAGTATAGTAAAAAGATTTAAAAAAGGCATAATTAAGCAAAATGAAGTGTGCAATCCTGATTTGCACAATAGTGTGCATTTAAACAATACTATAAAAAACAAGAAAATTAAACAATGCCTACATCATAAATACAGTCAATGTCAAGTAAGACTGACTCCAATTTCTTTCTAAAACAGCAGTGAATAATTTTTTAAATTAAAAGTACGTATAAATATATAATTAAATTTTAATTTAAGTTTTATTATAAATTTAAGACTGAGACTTATAAAATCAACTTTGACTTCGACTAAGTAAAAATGGCAAGCTAAGCAAGTTTTTTGTATTTACAAAAAGAACTCGGTTTAAGTTAAGCAAGAAATTGCAAAGTAGTGTAAGCTCAGAATTTAATACGAGTAATTTCTTGGTTAAACTTAGGCAAATACTAATAATAAAAATAATACGTTGTAAAAACTTTCTTAGCTCTTCTTAGATCTTTGCTAAGTCGTAATGAAAGTTTGTTTTATAAATTTCAGCCCGTTTTAAAAAGGCACCGCCAATAAGCAAAAAGTAATTAGGTATTATAACTTTTTTATAAAACAAAACCGACTTTAAAAGTTTGCTTATCCATTAAAAAGGAATTATCTATGCGCCAAGTTTTATGAAAATGAGTGAAATTCAATAAACAGGATTCATCCCCTAATTTGCTACCCTTAGAGGGTACCTCTCCAACAACAAGAATCATCTAAACCAGTTCATAAATGTCGGAGTCATCGCGTAACAAATACACACAAAAAATGCAGACGAATTGAGAAAAAAGGAGAACATGTCATCATGACGTGGTAACATCGTTCGTTACCATTCGTGGTTTCCGAGTTCTCCTGATGTTCAATGATTCACTAGATCTCAATGATCTCATTGCTACATCTGTGTAACGTGATGTAAACCTAACACTTGGAGTTAAACTTGAAGTTTGGATGACTAAAGCAGAATCACTGCAACAATCCTGCAAACCCTCAAGTACCACTTAACCTTTGCGGGTTAATTAATCGTGCAGGAATAACAGACTCTCGTCCACAGCCGACTGGCTCACTGGCTCTCCATTAGCGGCCGCCGGTCACTCATAATGAAGTGGCAAATGTTCACGTGCGATGACGGAGGGCCCACTCTCCAGTTTCCGATTTAACCTAACAGGGTTGGCAATGCTTTTGGCTTTCAAGTGTTGTATTTTTAAACTCGTGACACCGTTGGTTATCTAAAATTATCTCGACAATTTTCATGCTCCTATTGTTGGTAGAATCGGTACAAAAGAAACTAAGACTTTTGATTCCTTTCCGTATCATTCTTATGAAAATAAAGTTAAGACTTTCAAGAACATAAGAAATGACGATTTAGTGTTCATAATGGTAACCTATCACAAAGTCGAAAAATTTTTTGTTCGAAATAACGAAGTTCCAATTTTCATTACACCGAAAACCGAATTATAACGAAACAGTTGTTCTTTCAGGATATGTTGAATGTTTATCGCAACGACACGATTAGGTTCGGTTAGGTTAGGTTAAGTAAGGTTTAAAAGAAAAAAACATTTTCCTCTCAAAATTACTTTCGAGGTTATAAATTTCGACCAAACGTTATTTCTGGGAAATGTCATTTCGAACTACTGATAGGTAACCGTTCATAATATACTAATTTTTTCATTTTTTTTATAATACCAAGTGACGGTACGAACAAGTCGTGGGCCTGGTGATAAGCGACACGCTTGTTCATAACAGTTGCAGTGCCACTCAGAGCTTTAAACCGCAAAGATCAGAGGGGCACCGCAACTGCGCAAAAAAGGTAACGACCTTGGGACATAAGTTGACAAGTCCCATGTGCCTGCAACTTCTCACGTTACGTTAGTGCTTAGTGGCAAGAATAGGTAAGGTTATAATAGTAGTTGGTGTTTTATTTTCCAGTTCTTGATTTTTTCCCAAAGCATAGGGTAGAGAATGTTCAGAGTAGAGCACTTGATATAATAATTAAAAAGCTATGTAATATACCAAGGTAATATGATGACGAAATTGTATTATATTTTGTTTTTATTATACTGTTACAGAAAACAGGTTGAAACACTTTTTAAAACAATACGAAGGAAAAACAGTCAATCTTCAAAATTGTACACTGCATTCAGAAACAAGAAAATATAAATTGTGTGATTTTGTAAATGAAGAAACAAAAAAAACAAAACAAGAATTACCTATTTTAATTTTAACGACCTCAGTGGTCGAGTGGCTTGCACAACGCTGTACATGGTGTCGCCATTTCTGAGGTCCCGAGGTCGATTCCCAGCCGGGTCAATGTAGAAAACTTACTTTTCTATATTGTCTCGGGTCTAGGTGTTTGTGTTACCCTCGTTGTTTCCGATTTCCACAACACAAATGCATTACTTGCTTACTTTACATATTTTTAATACAAAACAAAATATATAGAACTATACATATGCATCTTAAAATATTAAGTACAAATTACCTGTATGGCAAGCGGCTTTTTGAATGCATGAGTTCGTACCGTGTCTACAAATCCACTTTAAATTTTATAGGTTTTATAGGTTATTTAATAAAAGTAAACCAATGTAAACGGTACGTAGCAAATATTGCAAAAGACATTTTCAGTTCAATACGTACTTTTAAGTTGGACAATATAATTTCTCAGGCAACCCGATAGCAATTAAGACATATACACCGTTCGCCACTGCATTTAAGTACTTATTCGTGTGTATAAATGTTGAAATTAACAATCAGCGTAATAGGGCTAGTTCGGGTAAGTGACAGCCCTAGGTGTGCACTCGATCTATGTCGGGCAGTGCGAGAGCCTGTCACGTCCAGCATGTCGGGCGGTGCTAAGGCTTCGCCCGAATTCAATTTACACACGACAACTTTCGAAGCGGAGGGGTTTACGTCTGTCCACATGGCTACCTACTATGAAGTTTCTACCTTTTTACAAACGTATTTTAAAAATAGAATCGCATGAAATTACTATAATAAAGATTTTTTTTAACCGACTTTAAAAAAGGAGGTTCTCAATTCAATTGCATATTTTTTTGTATGTATATTACGCGATAATTTATGAACCGATTTTGATGATTCTTTTTTTGTTGGAAAGAAGTGGTCCCAATTAAAATTGGAAGAAAATGTTCCACTTCTAAGGGTGGCAAACTAGGGGATGAATGATTTTTAGGTCGGTTTTTTTTAGTGCTCTGTACTGAGACAATCAACTATTTTTCTTCTTAGGAAGTGAAACTATTTTTTTTCGGTTCTAAGTCGCGTATATTTGTTTTTCAAACAAACCAACATTTGGGACCCTGTACACACAGGTGACTGAGAAGGTAAAATCATCAACCAATTATGTCTATGATTAATGCAAACTAGTCAGGCACCCATGACTATTTGACATGTAAAGGGCCCAAAAGTTTGAAAAACAATATATTTTTCATCAAATTCATTTCCTATGTATACCAATCGCGAAAAACCTAAGAATTCAATATTTTTCTTTTGATAATAGGAACAGATAAAACGATAGGTGATTCCGGTGGCCCAACGGTTTGCACTGTGGGTACTTGATGAGGAGGTTTCAATTCCCGGTAGGACCAATTTACTAAATTTACTAAATTGGTTCTGGCCAGGGTGTTCTGGAAAGTGCCCCAGAGTGAATTCCGTCGCTATGGTACTCATAGTACAGGGAATTCCCTAATTTGAGACCAGGCAATTGGTGTAATGGTACATTATTATTATTATTATTATTATTTGTTTGAAAAATAAATATTCGCTATGTAGGCCCGAAAATAAGTCAATGTAATTTAACTTTTACGCATCGAGATAGTCGATTAAAATTAAGAAATAAATTAAACAGAATTACGCAATTCAAAGCAAATGCGGTCTGTCGTATGGTGTTAAAAAAACTAGTTATTTATTTTGGCCAACTCGAAATACAAAGCACAACATAATGGATTTAAATATCAACAGCGGTTTGCGATCCCGCATGTGGACATCCGGTGCTAAACAGTTTGTTATACAAATGTATAGACCTCAGATCAATGGAAAGAAGGTCCTTACATTCAATGCGCTGTGATATTTCGTGCGAACTGCAAAAAATTCCAAAAATTTCTGTTACTTAATAGGTTATTAAAGAAAGTCTAAATTATTTACTGTTATTTTTTTATCACGATGTTTACTGGTCAGGACCAGCATGGTTATAATAATACCTACATCGAGTATATAACCAGAAACAGAGACGAAATGTCATTTATTTGTTTGAAAACTATTCTGCCAAATCATTACGGTGGCAACTGCGCTCCGATTGGCCAGCCCGAATTCGAAACAATTGACGGCTGTAGCAATTGTTTCACTTCAAATCGACCAGTTTAACTTGAGCTTTGCTATAATGCACGAAAATTGAAAAATTACATATTTATAATTTAATTATCAACGAAATGTGATTCCGTTTGTTCTGTAATTAGATGTTTTGCTGTTGTTCCCACACCACCGAATGGAACAGCCTTCCATAGTTAGAGATATTATCTTTATTAGGTACAATAAATACAAAATATTTTTGGAAAATACGGAGACGTACACACAGGTCAGTTGTTGACGCTGTACTATTTCAGCTTTCTAATTTTTTATTTCAGCGCAAATGAGAGTTGATATTTAAAAGTGATATAAGGCCCATTTGCCTGACAAGTTGCCAGGGATGGATGGCCCTTATTTTGTCTCTATTTCTGGTTATATACTCGATGTAACAATATTCTAAACCTCGTGGCAATTGTCAGAAAACGTAAGAATGTTGAGTTGGCACTTATTTATTAAAACACAAAACCCCCAATTTTTTTATTAATTTGTTTTCTACTAGCTGGTACCCGCGTCTGTGTAGATAAAGGATTTCGAGCTAGCTGTACTATACTAATTTCCACAGTTTTATTGGTTCTCGGTACAAACTTTCATGCCTTATTTTACTCTCTTTAAGATTTACTTTTGTGATAAAAAGAAGCTTCCTCCGTCCAGTATCCTCCTTTAGGATGTCCTTTTACTAGGTCCCATCTATCTCTATACCAAAATTCATTAAAAATGGTTCAGCTGTTTAGACGTGAAAACGAACCGAACGTAACCCTTCAGATGTTTGTGATTTGTTCAGAGTGGTACTGCAACTGTTTGGGACAGGCGTATCGCTTTCTACCAGGCACACAACTTGTTCGTCCTGTCACTTAATATTATTAAAAAAAACTCTATCTGAATTACTTTCACATTTCTAATATTAGTTTGAATTTGCAACCCCAAATTGATACGCACGATAAGTGAAGTACGTAAGGAATATGTACGCAATATTATGTAATATCGTTCAACATCATGTGAAATTGTGGGGAAGCGTTGGTCTATATTATACTTAAAAAGAAACTACTCATGTTTACCAAATTACTTATTTGTAAACTGCACCACATCGTTAAGAATCAAACGAATTATGTATGAGATCTTGGGAGAGGAAACTTTTGTCTACAATAGGTACCTAAATAAGTAACTTACTAACAAAAACAAGTGACGAAATAAAAAAATGCCTTTAGCTACCTAGATAAATTATACACTTTTATAAAAGAATGAATCAATCAGTTCTTTCAAATTTCGGCTCAATTTTTGTAAACAAAAGAGTATTGACTTCTATGGGGTTTTTCTCATGTCTATGTTACTAATTTTGCGGATAGTTGTTTCGGATCTCAGAACTACAATAAAGAAAATATTTACTCACGTGCGGCTCGGCGGGCGCAGCACTCGCGCCATGTCCGCGTAGCGAACTCCAAAGGTAGAATGGAACGAGCGCCGCAACTGAGGGGCGGGACCCTGTCGTCAGTATAGAAAGACGCGCTGATTGGACCTCCACAAAATGTGTCGCATTTCTGCAACTGACTTATACTTTACTGACCCATATAAAGACTATTTTATAGGGTGTTAAAATATTTAACATTTGAACTGTTGAAAAAAAATTACAGCATCAACTCAATTTTTTTTTAATAGTACTGTAGCACTTTAGCAACTTTCTTAAGTACAAGCAACCACTTGTTGCTATACAAATAGGTGCGTAAAGCAAGTGTGGTATCACCTGTTGGAGTGCAAATCAATGTGATTTAAATAGTTTTAATGTAGATTAAATTGCTTGACACAAGCAAGATAAGGAACTGAAGGGATTGATCTGTTCACTTACTTGTAAACTTAAAATAAAGTTGATTTACGAACTTCTATCTACAACCGTTTTTCTTTGGGTTATCTCCTAGTAATATGTGCCAAGTTATTATTACTTAAGTTAATGTCGATTGGGATCGTATAACATTTTAGTTCCTGTCAAAAATTAGCGCACTCTAAAAGTAATCAATCTATGCCAACGTAGTGTTATGCGTAAATATATTAAGAAGTCGTAAGAATCAATTAGCGATGGGCGGACGAGCCCCCGATTGGGTGGGCGGGGCATGCCACGCCCTTATAACACGCCCATTCCACCGCAATCGAAACTGGAGCATCCAGATGGAAATTTCTAGGACGCCCTAGCTTTAAGTGCTGCCGCGTGTAATGATAAAGCCGGCGGTATAAAGGATTATACGGAAAATCAAGAATGAAAGATGTTCGGGAAATACGAAAGATTTTTAAAATATCTACCTAAGTAGATATAATGTTACCTTTATAAATTAAACACTAACTGTTAACGTGGAAAAATAAATAAAACAGTATTTTCGTCGTGTGAACAAAATTTAAATACGTTTACAATAAATAAAATGACAATTAAAACTTCAATATAATTATAACTTTGTATTTCTCTTCTTCTTCTCTTATGCTTCTTGTGTATGCCTCTCGCTTATGGAGCGAGGTTATAGAAGAGCATGGCGAAGCCATTGCAGTGTCTTTAGACATTTCTAAGGCCTTTGACAGGGTCTGACACGCAAGCCTTTTAAGCAAGCTTCCCTCTTATGAGCTTCCCACTGACCTTTGCAATTGGATTTCGGATTTCTTGAGTAAACGTTCGATTCGAGTGGTCTTAGAAGGCTACTCTTTCGAACATCGGGCGATAGATCGGGAGTTCCTCAGGGTTCTTCTTCTTCTGTACTGTCTGCAACCCTCTTTCTGCTGCATATAAAAGATATGTTGATTCCAGGTTCCTTTGGGTATGCTGATGACAGCACAGTTGTGGACAGGTACTTGACCAACTCAAGGGTCAGTGGAGAAGAAATCCAGTCTTGTCGAGAGTACATGGTTAGTCGTTTGAATTTGACACTTAAGGCAGACTGCCTGCCGGCCGATTGGGGCGATGACAATCTTGTCAAATTTAATGCTACCAAAACGCAGCTGTGTCTTTTCTCCACTTAACGGAGTCCCTTTCACCTGACTCCGACTTTTCGTGATATATCCATACCGATAGCCGACCGTCTTCACCTACTTGGAATGGACCTGTCGTCCAATATGAACTTCGGCAGATACACACAAGAAGCTTGGCATCCTTTCCAAGGTGTGGCGATACTTAAATTCTCACCGGGACAGTTACTTCAGCTGTACCAAGCACAAGTCCGGTTGTGTACGGAGCACTGCTGCCTCTTATGGGTTGGCTCTGCTAAATATCAACTGGCCACCTTGGATTCAATAGATAAGCATGCTATGAGGCGTATACTACTCGAAACTAGTAGAGGCGAAGCTGCAGAGCCTTGAACACCGCCGTAGAGTTGCCAGCTTGTCGGTATTCTACAGGATATATCACGTAGAGTGTGCGATGGAATAGCATAATTGGATTCCGCCTGCCCCTTTCCAACACCGGGAGACTAGACGCGGGCAGGGATTCCACCCCTATGGTGTGGATATTCCCGGGTTCGCACGAAGCGTTTTGCTTCCACATTTGTAAGGCGAGCGGCTAGGAAGTGGAATTCCCTGCCAGCAGACTTATTCCCCGAACGCTATAACTTGGACCTTTTCAAGGCGAGAGTGAATAGACATTATTCAGGTATGCATGCTACATCCTCGACCTCATCGTCACTTTCCATCGGTGATATGGAGGTCAAATGCGCACTTATTTTTTATAAAAAAAAAAAATTAAAATAATCTCAGTACAGAGTACTAAAAACAGCGACCTCCAAAGTCATCCCCTCAATTCATCCCCTAGTCTGCCACCCTTAGAGGTGGAATATTTTCTTCAAATAGGATTACGTCTAAGGTATCCTTTTTCCAACAAAAAAAAGAATCATTAAAATCGGTTCACAAATGCCGTATTAGAGTTATCGCGTGACACACATACAAAAAAAAAGAAAAGATACAATCGAATTGGGAACGTCCTTTTTTGCAGTCGGTTAAAAAACCAACCTCAAAAGATTGCTTATCCTTTTTACTGTATTTTTACCGCGATCTCCTCAATGATAGGATGTGTGTAATAGTGTGATAGGACGTTTCCTGTTTATAATTTACATCAATGATCTACCTAAAATTTCAAACACGTTAAGTGTACTGTTTGGTAATGACGTATCATTACAAAAAACATCGACCACAATAGTATTACTGAAATTAATAATCTCAGTACAATATAGAAGCGTATACATTGCCCTTTATGAATTTGTAACTTTGTGAAGACAACTGTCAAGAACAGCTAGTTTATTTTTATTCCTCGTATTAATGTTATGTGTGTCACAAATTTTCATTAAAACAAATTACTATTCTTCGTAACATAAATTACATTTTAATAAATGTACTGTGACGCTAGTATAAGAATGTTAATCTCTTTAAACTTATTAAAGACACTCTGAGTCACTATTGATGAAAACCTATTTTTTTGTAAATGATATACGAGTACAATCATCCACAGACAGCAATACGGTGATCTGATAAATCAAGCTATAAACGGAACTATCTAAAAATCTCTTAAATCCAAGGTTGAAATATTAAATAGGAATAACAGTAATATATCCGTTTCAATTATTCAAAATTCAATACCATTATTGTGGTTGGAGCAAAAACTTTCTCGGCTGGTAATTAATCTCGTTTGTTTCGGGGTGCGTCAAGATATGATGTGCAAATTCACAGTACGACGAGAAATAAACTTATTATCTTAGTAATAATTTTTATTTTTTATTCTAATAGCAGTAGAGCTCCTTGTGAAAGAGTTCGTCCAGGGTATTATGCCACCTTACCTATTTCTGCCGCTAAACAGTAATGTCAGAATTTCTGTGTTCCGGTTTTGAAGGGTAATGGTGCTGGTGAAATTACAGGTACATGGGACTTATCTCAGGGTACTAACAAAAACCGACCTCAAAAGTACGTGTAATTCAATCTATTTGCCAAGTTTTATTGAAATCGGTTACCGGAAAGTGCGCAAACCCGGTATCATCCCCTAGTTCACCACTATACGGGATTTGACACAAGAGATAGTAAAAATCGGTTCTCACTACTCAAAGTATATTGAGAGAGAAAATTTTGAAAATTCAAAATGAAATGGGACCACTATGGAATTACCCTCTTTCCAACAAAAAGTGAATCATGAAAATCGGTTCACAAATACCGGAGTTATCGCGTAACATACATACAAAAAAAACCATACAGTCGAATTGAAAACCTCCTCCTTATTTTGAAGCATTAGTTTATTTATTTATTGTTGTAATAAGTAAGTAGTTATACTTGTTGTGTATATAATTATATAGTGATAAACTGTAGGTAATGTTGTTGTTTGCCGTCTTTTAAATTTTTATTTCTATATTTTCGAATTAAGTTAGCACGTCTATACGGTGTAGACTTCGTAGCAAATCCACTGCTACGCCACCAAAACACATAATATTTAGGAAAAGAAGATCAAAAAAACAGATAGGTATGTGACGTATTGTCAACAAGAAAAATATTTGTCTTTTTTATTTCATTTCCTTCTTCTGTTTTTCTTAATCTTTATAAATATCACTGATTGTATCGAGTCTTTAGGTTTTGGCGTTTGCTACACATTGGAAATGAAACAATTTTTTTAGAATTAAAATCGCGTATATTTGTTTTTTTCTAATGAACCATTGTCCCAGTCTCTTAACAAATCGCATGATCACAGGTGACTTGGTTTGTTTGAAAAAATAAGTATACGCTATTTAAAGTTTATATAAAAAAGCCTTCACTGGTAACGTTTCGCTGTTTGCCTCAGTCCAAAAATCCTCATCGTAATTCATAACATAATCAATCTTCAACCTCAAATATTTCATTCAGTCATTCATTCTTTTCTAATTAAATTGAAAAGGTTCCTGCAAAAAAATGTCAGATATATAAATTATTGAACAAAAATTTAAATCTAAGATCTGGCAGTGTGGTTAATTAGACGCTTTAGCTTGTCCCGAAGGAAGACAAATTTTACTACCATAAAATTGAAAAGATTATTCTTATGAAGAAGCGTAATTCAAATAAATTGATACCTACATATTTCCAGGAGTTCTGACCACTGTACAGTGACAATAACACGTCAGGCTAGATATTTAAAATTGATATTCAACTCTATGACGCCTCCGCGTCCGTTATTCAATGATATCAAGTGACGGGACGAACAAGTCGTACACCTGGTGGTAAGCGACACACCTGTCCATAACAGTTGCAGTGTCACTCAGAGCTTTAAACCGCAAAGATCTGAGAGCACTCCTGTTGCGCCCGTCAGTCACCCTGAGATATAAGTTGACAAGTCTCATGTGCCTGTAATTTTACCAGCACCCTTAACCCATCAAAACCGTAATTCTTACATTACTGCTTGGGGGCAGAAATGGGTACCTTACCCATCAGTACTTCCCTGAACGAACACTTTCTCATGGAGCGCTACTACTATAAAAACGCTGACGGGCATGAAATTCTCGATGTTTTCATTGTTGAATTATATTGTTGTTGATGTTGTTTATTTTATTTTTTTGGGCGGTGAATAAATGATTATTCATTAACGTGAAATCGTATAACACAGCACTACTGTCACGTATTTAAAACATACAAATTATTTTTTATCACTTTCAGAATGTTACACAATATTTTTTTACTACTCAAATCGATGGTTTGGTGGACAATCGTAGAAGATAGTATGGGAAATCGTAGAAAATGCTGTGTGAATTTTAACAATTGCCTTTTTGTTTTAAAGATGGTTCGCAACAAAATATGTTAGATACCTAGTACAACAAAACCGTAAAAGTTTATTTTTGGTAAATTCGTTATATTTTAGGAAATGAAACTGGTTTTCCGGATTTAAATCGCGCATATTTGTTTTTTTAAACAAACAAATCTGCAGTCTACGAGCATGTCATGGATAAACCTACACATTCAATGAAGTTTGACAAATCCCCGGAACCTTGCAAAAGAAGTTCGTTATGTACCCAGGATACTGCGAGAGGCCATTGAAATAAAAAACCTTCCTAATTTCAACGGGAAGATGGTTTATCCGCACCACAAGTTTGAGATCCAGTATTTCCTTTGATGAAAAATCCCAAACAGACATAGGACTGCAGTATTAATTAATATGTTTTAATTTATTCTAATTTTCATTATTAATTAATAATAAATTTAACTTAATTAAAATTTATATTGTTAAAATAAAATAATTTGTAAAACATAATGTAGCGTAAATTGGAACTTTTCTTTGTAAATTTAAGAATAATATATATAATTAATAACTTTTGTAACTATAGTGGAAAAAATAGGGTGGTTTGCATTAATATTAAACATAACTGGTTGATGACTGTACCACCTCAGTCAACCGCGACCATGGGACCTGTAAAGGGCCCGAAACGTTGGTTTGTTTGAAAAAAACAAATATACGCGATTTAAATGCGGAAAAATAGTTTCATTTCCTATGTGTAACAATCGCGAGAACCTAAGGGCCTATGCACACGGCGTATTTTATACGCGCAGAGGACGCGCTGAGGACGTGCTGATGACGCGTGTTAACGCGATTCAAACAAGATTCAAACGTAGCCAGTAAACCTATGCACACGTTCACAAATTCATACACGCCGTAAGGTTCACAAGCCGTTTCACCCGCGTTTGTGAAACGGGCATTTACGGCGCGTACTCTCAATAGTAGCACAATGGCGTCGGTCGAGACAATACTCTTACGCTAGCTTTATTAGTGTTTTTAAAAAGAAAAAAATGTAAACGTAGCTCCTTCCCTGCCCCTTTCCTCAGTCTTGCAACGCGATGTTTGATTCGATGCAAACGCAACAATCTGCTTTTCGAATATCTTCAACGCGCGTTGAGAGCGCGTTCATGAAACGCGCGTCGTCTGCGCGTATAAAATACGCCGTGTGCATAGGCTCTAAGAACTCGATATTCATTATGTTTTGTAAAAAGTCATGGAACAAAAGTTGTTTAATATTTAAAAAATGACCCTGTATTACGCCCTGCTGCTGAATACGGGTTTCTACCAAGAAAGGGGTTATATTTAACGTAACCATTATTTTTGTACCTCAGAGCGGGACGCCTGTAAATTCATTATTATGTGTTTAAAAAATAAAAGACGTTTATGATAGTTACTAAATGTTTAATGATAAAACAAATCAAAAGAACGAAAATTGTTTAATGAATCAAAAATTTTTAGAAAGAAATAATCTTGTATAGTCTGGTGCTCGATATCTGGTTGGCTGGCTATAAATATTTTCGCTGTCGCGCCATTTTTTTTTTAAATTTATTGTTACATATGTTCTGTTTTGTGAAAGCGGGACACTTTTAAGTACTTTGGGGACAGCGGAGCACGAAGCCTAAAAGCGGGACGTATGCTCACGTTAGTTACATTATATAAAAAAATTATATTATAGCAGTGAGAGTCTAGTTGGAAGAACGATTATTCCACCGTAAAGGACGTTCAAATTCGATTGCAACAAGGAGCCTCCACCGCTTATCGAGTCTTTCAATTCGTGTACACTTTTGTTTGTCACTCAACCTATCTTCACAGCTATGTCGTGTGGGTCAGATGGTAAGAGCGATAGCCACGGTGAGGCAACAGACACTGGTTCGAATACAGTCGGACCGATTGATTTTTTCTTTGTGTTTGGTCGATATTTGTATCAATATAATTGTCACAAATTTCAAAACGTTCTGTGAGACGTTGCTATTTTATTCAAAACTTCAACCAATGATCTTTAACCCATAGGTAAAAAAGGATCATTGACCTCAACATAATTTTATCTATCATTACAAGAAATTACCTCTTGTTCCAAAAAACATTGGATGAACTACAAATCAAAGCTACTCTAATTTATAGTAATAACAAACAAATCAACTAGATGGCGCTTATTGTACAGATTTATATGGCTACTACTGGCTATTATTTGATTTTGTTTAGGGTTAGCGCCATCTACCCGTACTAGCAAGCGTTATTTATAAACTAGTTTATAACACACAATCGCCATCTATTAACGCGCATATTTTTATCAAAGTTCAGAAAATAATTTTAGCTCATGGTCTACATTTGAATAATAATTTCTACAAGGAAAATAAACTGACTACCTACTTTTTTTTTTTTTTTTTATTTATTTTAAACACTAAGAATATTACAAAAATATATATACATCACACCCTCAAACCTACCAACCTACTTATATCACATATTAAAGAGAATTAATTGATATCCACGACCATTTATACTACTTTCAGGCTATCGATCAGCGCCTTTTAGATATTGAGAATTTTGACCTTTTTCAGAGTTACGATCTGTAGCAATGATATTACACTTTGCTCACTGATCTTATATTGTATGGAGAGTAGCAGTCCACTCGAGTTATTGTATAATTAACAATGAAAAAAAAATTGTTTTACACCTATAGTAAGGTTGGCTGCTGGCTGGTATTTGCAATTCGATGTCGTCGTAGCGTATTTCAGTAATTTTCAGGTAAGTTTTTTTTACTCGATTTTGGTGACAATTTCTTTTTACACAAATTACCCATTTGGTTATCCACAAAGTAAAACTAAGACTTTTGAATTATTTATTATTTTATTTATGTTAATTCCTACTGGGCGATGATACAAAATATAATTTCTTTCCTTGAAATTTATTACCAAATTCTTAAATATTTTAATATAATAGCAACATAAGAATTCCTTGACGTGGAAACCCTGATCTACCATTGGCTATTGCGGATTGATTATTTCCAGCCAAGAACCAATAGGAACACTCCAAGCAAACAGTGTAAAAATGTCTTCGCAGGCGTAGATAATCGCGTTCAATATTCGTTTTATTTTACTAAAACAAAACTACTTGTTAACACAACTACTTATATTTGATCGTATTGTGCTAATTCCTTGTTTGTGACTCCATAAAATAATCCGCAGGTACAATTTGTTCCTTTAACAGCTCTAATTACTTTCTCTTTCGTGACAGATGATCGGATTCTTAGCAAAGTGTTTTTATTTTTTGTAAATAAAAACAAAGGATGTAGTATTTGCTGTGAAATTAGCATTTATCTAGTACAAATATAACGTCTTGAATCATGAACTGATTTTTTTCTATTTTCGTACACGTTCCAACTTTTCTAAGCGAAAATTTCGTCCCCATTTTGTGCGCCGACAGATTGTTAAATTGAGTGTTTTGTGCAGATATGGCTGACGAAATGGACCCGTGCGAGTGCCTGTGGAACCATGAGATGGCGATGCGGCGGTTGATTTCGCTGGTGAGCCCATTATCTCTGACCTTGGCACATTTCATGTAGGTACCTACCACGTCTACAGTTTACGAAACCGTTTTTCTGATAACCGAACACAACGATTTAATATTTAACATTAATTTCGTAGCTATAAAGGAAAAAACAGCATTATAATTTTCCTCTACACTAGTGTTCGTAAGCAAAATACTATAATTATAATATTAGTGTGCCAACCAACCACAACAATTGCGTAGTCTCAAGCTAGGAAATTCTATGTATTACGAATATTATATTACATTATATTACACCCAAACTCACGAGAGAAATAATATAGACCATACAAATATTTCTCCCAGTCCGGTTGTAACAGTTCAGCCATGGAGACAGTTAAAGCCACAGAATTCATTCTGGGACCTTTCCCGGTACCCTCAGACCAGAACTGATTTAGAGAAGTACATCTCCCAAATTGGTCCAGGAATTGGACCTCCGCATCCAGTGTCTACCGGGCAAACCGGTGGCCCACCGAGTTTGCTGATCAAAATCAAAAAAGGAATATTGATCGTAGTTTTTGCTTGGTGTGGTAGTGTATGGATATTACATCATCATTTTTTTCCCACTCAAAGGAGAAATGTTACCACTGCTAACGTCTCCTGAGCAAATCTGTGCATGATTAGTTAGTGAATACAAGAGCATGCACATACATTAAAAAAACATGACTGGTATAGTCATTGTTCTTGTATAGTTAATTTTTTGGGTTCAAAGAATTTTGAACACTGTTTCATTATGGACCAAGTACATGTTTAAAAAAAAGACATATGTATTGATAAAATTACATTTTGTGCAAATAAAGAAAAACACTGCCACATGAGTAAATGGTAGCAATCTTTACACCTATGCTCTACTCATTAACTTCACAAATATTTATGTTTATTGCATATTTATTGATATTTAATATGTACCACATAGTTGGTATAGCGTCTGGCATGGTATGCAAGAAGACGGTTCGAATCCGACCGGATCGAAGGAATTTTTCTGAGTGTTTTTCTGAGTGTTCGATCTTTGTATTAGTAATTATAACAAACTAGTGGAGTAATTTCACAAAAAATAATTGAATATCAATTCAATAAAAATTTAATTAATACAGTGAATAGCGACATCTCTCGCCAGGACTGGTAGCTGTAAAGATACTAACTGGGTGATAAATCTGCAATAGATTTCTCATAGATGGCGCTACGACTAAAAAGTCGTTGAAAGACCAAGTACAAAGACACGACGCAAGCACATAGAAAAATTCGTGAGGTTCGTTCCGTTGTTTAGTTGGTATAGGTATATATATCCAATTCTTGTAACTCTAGCGACTAATATTGTAGATAGGGTTACAAAAATTGGAGAGGATGTGGATTACATTTTTCTGTATCTAATTCTTCTCTATCTAACATGTTTAACGTAACTCTACTTATGCCATTCTTCCATGAGGGATGCAATTGTTATTTCAGTACATTCAAGAGCACATCAAGCTATACATTTTTGTTCAAACATCATCTTCAGAGCAACAGAACAAGATCTGTCAATGTGTAGCTTGATGTGCTCCCATCTGTACGTGTAATTTTTAATTAAAAAAAAACAATTCTTGCTTCAGTACTTGCTTTAATTGATTTCTCTTTTTAAAAATGCCATGGATTTTTAGACGAAAATTCAAAAATGCTGGACTCCTTAAAATAAATTAGCAACATTTCTTATTTTAATTCAAATTGTTACTTTATGATGGATGAGTTTAGATAATAATGTCCTTTATTTTTCTATTGTAAATAATAGAAATCCACTAAAGAATTCTGCAGGAAAAAATTATAAAAAGAAATGCTATCTTCATAAAATGGATGTTTTTTACAACAATGACAATTAACTACCTACAAAAGACTAACAATGACATTCCTGTAATACATGTGTATTGTTATCTGGTATTATTATCAGTGATGAACATGTAAATACTAGATAATTCTACAGTTTATGTGGCCATAAAGTTTATACTGTGCCTTTAATACTAGTTGTGCATATATATATATGTTTGAGGTGGTCTAAGTTATTTCCTTAAATGTACATTAAGGAAGGTAAATGTATCTATTTTTGTGGTTCAGCCAGTTATAAAAACCAAACAGTATTAATATTTGTGTTAACAATGATTTTAATTCACCATATTTAATTCAAATATTACCACAATGACAAATTTGTAGAATTAAGGCACCTACCATTTCAGAATGAAGAATGGAGATCAAGTTTAAATTTTTAAAACAAAATAATAAACAGAAGAAATGTTTATTTTAATCACCATCAACTATGATCTTATACCTTTTATCTTGCAACAATAAAAGGTATAGAACCTATGCCAATTAACTAAATAACTTTAACTACCTCTGTTGCCGAATGGTTACCACGGTGGACTGCCACGCAGAGGTCCCAAGGTCGATTCGGGCCGGGAGAAACATTTGTATGGCTAAAATTTATTTATCTCGTGAGTTTGGGTGTAATTTGTGGTTTTTCATGTGTGTCCATGGCACCCGCGACACAGAATTTACCTACTGCGGGGCTATGTTGAGTGTGTGCGTTATTCCCTTGAAAAAACTGTTTTAGACTATTAAGTAAATCTTGAATTATAATTTTTGGCGACGTCGATGGCTCAGCGGCTAGACTGTAGCCGCTAAACGATTGAGTTCCGGGTTCCATTCCCGGTAGGAAAAAATTAGGTAACAAATTTTTCGAAATTTGTTCTGGTGTCGTGGTGTTCTGGGTAGTTAACTTTGTTGCTCTAGTACTCTTACTGCAGGGAATTACCTAATTTGAGACCAGTTATTTGGTGTAATTGTCTGGGACATTATAAACATTTTGATTAAACTCAAAGTATTTTAGTGCTTTATGGCAGATAGAGATGCCACTGTCGCCTTTATAGCCTAAAATAACGAGAAAAAAGTGGTAATGTAGGTAGTATTTAAGAAATCCGCCATAAATAACCTAAAAGTTTGTAAATATTGGCTGACGGACATCGAAGCAGAATTAATCATAGTTCCAATACTAACAAGCTCTTATCAGCGCTGATATTCCAATTACTATGCACCACGGTTTTTACTTTTAAATACAATTCTGTTTTGTTATTGCTGTTGAATTTCAATGTCACGAATAAAACGTATATTTTTTTATAGTTTATTGAACAGACGTGACCAGCTTACGAGTAGTAAATTTTGTAGCTAACGATCTAGAACTCCTGTCAGCACTGCCTAACGTCGGCTGTAAAGTTTCTGGGCAGTTCGGAAAGATAATTTAGGGTGACGGTTAACAATGGGCAGTACGAATACTGCTGAATAAATGGTTGATTTCAGCAATTCTACGCGTGTCGCAACGGCTATTTCTATCATATTTTCTATTTATTCTTTAACTTACGCTGTCAAGTCTTTATTAATTATGCACCTTTCTGTGTTTGCCGATGCCTTCGTTTTTTGTTGTTGCGCTAGGGGATGAATGGAAAATAGGAAATAAGATCTGCAATGAAACTCCAAATGATGCTGTACTCTATTTATTTCTCCTCGTTACACTTTACAGTGGTGTAACAATTTATTTTTCCTTTTTGTTTCGAAACTAAGTATCGCGCACTGTAAGGGCGCGTGTACACGCTAAGAAATTCGACGTGTTTGTCAGATATAGCCACGAAAACATGTGTCTGTTGCAGACGAGAAAATGATGAGTATGTACACAATACGAATGCATCCTGACTGACGTATGTACGGTAAAATGTGTCAGTGCATTACAAGTCTTCCAGGTAGCTGTCGCTTTACTACCGACACAGGGAAGAAATATGTTGTTGTATACGTTGACTACTAAGCAACACAAGCGCCCTAACCCTGTAATCTCCTCTAAAAACACATGGCTTCCTCGCTCTTTTTTTAGCCAGAACCCATCCTATCCTAGTTTTTTATTTGTGTTGCCATTAAAAAATAAGAATCTCCATATTTTTATTTTACTTTTACAAAAATCATTACAGATCATGATTTTTTTCTTTGTTCCTTAACGTGTTTACTGAAACGCGAACAGGTGACTTTTATTAGAGATGAAACGGATAGTGATTTGGCTGGATACCGGATATCCGGCGAACCACTATACCGAATAGTCGGATATACGATCGCCGGATATCGTACCTACCCAGTCGCAAACATGTCGCGATCGGTTTACAGCGGGCATCGCCGTGATTGATTGAATAAGGAATGATTGCACTTTCACATTGAAGATTTGAGTTGTGGTTACTTAGTTTTTGTTAAAATGATGAATTTATTCGATAATACAAACAAATACACAACAGAAAAATGTCAACAGTGAAAAAATACCCAATTTAGCAATATTTTAATGTCATTGTTGTTTGTTTCTTGTAATTTAATTTTAATTTTCTCGTGGTGGAGAAGGAAAAAAACAGTTATATCATTCTTTGTCTATATTAAAATTTCCAGTTGTTATTTTATAAGTGTAAATCTAGCACTTGTAACGCCAGGTTACTCTTTTGTTTCAGTTTGATTTCATTAATTTGTTTTTTGTGAACTAACTATTCTAAAACTTAATACCAGTTTTTGCCGAATTTTTTTTTTTTTGTAAACCTACTTACACGTTCAATTATTATCGTTACACATTGTTCTTACGAAAACAATTGTTTTAAATCGATTACTATTTGAAGACAGTTTGAATCGATCGTGATCGCGATCATTTGGTGGTTTGGTAATATCATGCAGTACCTAAATTTAACAAAGTTTGCAAGAGTTTATTGCGAACAACTGTCCTCTGACTCTTGTCTTGTTTATAAAAATAAACGGAACCGAGTTTTACCACTTATTGCAGAAGTACTGATCTTCATCCACCATAATTTACCTTTATTAAAATTTGAGTACTAAATTTACAGATTACGTTATCTAACTTCAAGTTTTGTACAGTTAGGGCGCGTTCCCACTATGTCGTCACGTTTTATTATCGTTGGTGGACTGTCGTGTCTAGCCTGTTCCCATATCACGACCATCTGTCGTGGACGACAGTTAATCGTGTCGTGCTATATGTGAACAACTTCATTTAAATATACAAGCCACGACACTGTAAACTGCACGACAATCTGTCGTCACTAAATAGTGGGAACGCGCCCTTACAAGTAATGAACAGATTGTCAACGAACGATCATGTAGTTACTATTGATTTATCCTATTACTATCCTCTTATCTCATACCATATTTCCTATCAATAATTTAATTTATTTGGCGTACTGGCTATGAATTTTTCTCAGTTTTAAATATATTATCCTATTATCCGGTATCCAACAGGAAATAGTTCTATTATCCGATATCCGGCCAGATAGTAAAATTAGGCCGGGTACCGTATAGTTACCGGATATCCATTTCATCTCTAACTTTTATGCCATTAGGCGAAAAAATGGTTCTGCTAAGCGAGTGCGTGACAGTGGCAATGCCATCCTAAAAATGATTGCCTATTGTTTTGACTGTATAATTTTAAAGTTTAGGGTAATGATCACTCTTGGTCAAATTCAGTAACGACTTGTGCATTTTCCTAATTTTAATTTTTTATCACATTTTAACAATTCATTGCAATCATACTAACATAGTTATAAGGTTTTCTTTTGTAACTAACACCATTATCTTGTGGGCTATGGCTTGAAATAAATGGTTTAGTAATCTACTCTATTAAAATTAGAAAGAGCCCAAAGAGCGGTACTCAAGACTTCCCTAAATCTTCCTTTTCGATTTTCCACGACAGAGCTGTACAAAAAGTGTACAGTGCATACGGTACGACAACTTTATATTTTGTGTGCTGTCGCGCAATTACATTCTCAGTTATCGTCGATCCCGCTATGTTAACTTTTTAACGTTGTTTTTGGCTGATTTCATATATAATAAAATAAATTTTAAACATCTACCCTTTAAATAAAAATTATTGTAAACAAAGTATTTCGAAATGTCTAGTTACTTTAAATTATGATCAGACGGAAAATCTATTGGTAATGAATATTTAGCATTTAATTACATTTTCGGATCTTTTTGGAGGTATTTTACCACGGTAAACACATATTCAAACTTTTCTTACGCACCTCTCTGTCGCATTTACAGCGCACATACTTACACACACTTACGCCAACACACACACACACACACACACACACACACACACACACACACACACA